TATGTCTCTCGTGGGCATTGGCACAGGGCCCCTCAGTTCCTGGCAGACCCCTCTCCTGCACCCCAGCCCCGGCCTTCTCTTCACTTTATAAATTAGGCATGGAAAGAGGTCAGCAACAGTAATAATGAAATAGAACAATTATCCAGGCTCAGTGGCACAGGCCTGTAATCCCAGCACTCAGGAGGCTGAGGCAGGAGGATCGCTGAGAGTCTGAGACCAGACGCTATCACAACATCCTCCCCATAAAAATAAAAAAAGAATCAGGACGATTTGACTAGAAGGAAAGCTGTGTGACTAGGTTCTCACCCCTCGCCCATCTCCTTCTTTGCTCCCTCTTTGCCTCCACAGAACTCTGTTCAGCTCCTACAATCGAAGCACTCAGCACCAGACTCAAGACAGTCACAGCAAAAGGTGCCCAGCAAAGAAAATAAACTGACAGCATATTTTAAAAATAGTGCGGTGACCAGGGAGGGTCACAGAGGGACACTGTCCTATAGCTTGACCTGGCGGTTAGCTTTATTCTTGTACCTGCTTTCTTGTCCCGCGCACACAATACATATTTTAGGAACTGTTTTACACTTTAAAATTCAATGCTTCTCTCTCTTCTTCTTTTTTCTTTCTTTTCTTTTTTGCAGAGCCGGGCACGGACCCCAGGGCCTGGCGCAAGCTGAGTACTGCTCATCCCTGAGCTGCACTCCGGCCCTAAATGCAACGTGGTGCTTAGAGAGCTGACTTGCAAAACCCAAACAAGTGGGGAGTTCGGATCTACTTGGTAATCCTCGCCTCCTGTCCAGTGCCAGGATGAAAGAGAGGGGCCAAAAGGTGAGCAGCACAACAAGGGCTGACCTAGCAGCCCCCAGCCCCCAAACATCTGGCTGACCTCATCTCATCCTGTACTCTTGTCTTTTTCTTTTTAAAATGTTTGGTTGTTTATTTGAGACAGGCTCTCCCTGTGTAATCCAGGCTGGTCTTGAACTCCTGGAAATCCTCCTGCCTCAGCTTCTAGAGAGCTGGGATGACAAACACGTGCCACCAAGCCCAGGCCTTTTGCCTTTTGTGTGTGTGTGTGTGTGTGTGTGTGTGTGTGTGTGTGTTGTGGAACTAGGGAATGAACTTTACCCCTGAGGCCTTTCTATTTATTTTTTGGTTTTTGAGACAGGGTCTTGCTATGTAGCCCAGCCTGGCCTCAAACTCATAGCAATCTTCCTGCTTCAGCCTCTTAAGTGCTGGAATTATAGGACTGTGCCACCACGCCCAAGCCTTTTGTGTGTGGGTGTGGGTGTGTGTGTTGTGGAACTAGGGCATGAACTTTACCCCTGAGGCCTTTCTATTTATTTTTGGGGGTTTTTGGGGGGGGGGGTACCGGGGATGAACTCGGGTCCTTGTGCTTGCACAGCAGGTGGCAAAACCACTGAGCTAAATCCCCAGCCCCTTATTTTTTGGTTTTTGAGACAGGGTCTTGCTATGTCGCCCAGCCTGGCCTCAAACTCATAGTAATCTTCCTGCTTCAGCCTCTTGAGTGCTGGAATTATAGGATTGTGCCACCATGCCCCGCTTGGAGGCCTTTTTATTTCTTTGAGATAGGGTCCGAAGTTACTCAGGCAGGCCTTGAACTTGTAATCTTCCTGCTTCAGCCTCCTGGTAGATAGGACTATACACATGTGCCACTATGCCTGGCTCCTGGTCTTTCTTTTGCTAGACACAAGAGATGAGAAAAATACTGGGGGAGAACAGGCTGGGATTGCGGCTCAGCAGTGGAGCACTTGCCCACTATGCACAAGGCCCTGGGCTCCATCTGCAGCATGAAAAAAGGAACAACAGCTAACCCTTCTCCTTAGGTACCTGGAACAAAAATCCCAGCATCCTCCACCCTTGGGACTCCAGGCAACAGCCTAGCTTCCTCTCTGGCGAGGCCCTCCAAACTCAGGGTTACCCTCAGAGCCCGCAGAGGGACCCCCAGCTCGTGAACTTTATCCTGATTGTGGAAGAGAAACAGAAGTCTAATGTTTGATCCCTAGCCATGAGCCAGAACATCTAAGAGAGGGGTAGGATCAAAAGGACTTCCTTGGGCCGGGGATTTAGCTCAGTGGTTCCACTCCCTGCCTCGAAGCAAAAGAACCTGAGTTTGATCCCCAGTACCGAAAAAAAGAGGACGTCCTTGCTGTTTGTACCTAGAGATGGGACAGATCGGAACTTGATAAGAGCTAAGCCAAGGAGGAAATGGACGGCCACCTTCCCAGCACAGAGAGACAAGTGACCCCACAGCGGACGTGCCCTGGACCTGGCTCTCCCAGGAGGCTTTGTAGTTGGACCTCAACTCCATGAAGACAGGGAATGTTTATATATTTACCAATACCTGACTCTGTTTGCTCCAGTTCAGTTTGTAACAGCAAAAATATGGGTGACAGCTTAAACAACCATAGGTAAGAGACTGGCTGTACAATCAAACTCAATGCAAAAGTGGCTTAATAAGCCAGGAATAATGGTGCACACCTATAATCCCAGCACTCAGGGGGATGAGGCAGGAAGATCTCCATGAGTTGAAGGCCAGCCTGAACTACATAGTGAGACTCTGTCTCAAAAGAAATAAACAACAAACAAAAAAGAGGCTTAATATTTTGGGGGGCAGTGCTGCATGTGGAACTCAGGACCTCACACGTTAGGCAAGTGCTCTAGCTCTGAATGCCACCCCAGTCCATGCAGTGGTTCAAGAGACAGAGACAGCTGGACAGAGTAACAACATCTGTGATCCCAACATTCGGGAGGCTGAGGCAGGAGGGTTGCAAGTTTGAGCCCAGCCTGGGCAATTTAGTGACTCAGCAAGACCCTGTCTCAAAATAAAAAAAGGATGGGGACGTAGCTGAATATGAAGGCCCTGAGTTCATTCCCCAGTACAGGAAAAAAAAAAAAATGGAGATATATACCCAAGCCCTAGCCCAGACACGCGGCCTCTAGAGGGAAAATCTACAAAGTATTCAGAAGGGAACATCCAGAAAAGGACAAGGTTCAGGTAGGGAGAGGCCTCCTTGGTCCCCACACACCTTGTACTGGGGATCAAACCCAGGAATAGTCTATCAGAGGTACCCCTCAGCCCTTTAAAAATTTTTACTTTGAGACAGGGTCCTGCTAAGTTGTCCAGGCCTGCCTCAAACTCCCAATCCTCCTGCCTCAGCCTCCAGAGTAGCTGGGGTTACATGTTTGGGCCATCATACCCAGCCTTGCTTGTTTTTTTTAAGTGTATGCCCTTTTGCACAGTTTTGCTGGGGTGTTTTTTTCTAACTATCTACATCAATTATATTGTCAAAGTTTAACCACAAAGGGCTGGGGTTGTGGCTCATGGGTAGAGTGCTTGGCTTGTATTCACAAGGTCCTGGGATCCATCCCCAGAACCACAAAACAGAGAACGTTTCACTACACATACACACACACATCATGTATGTGCATATAACATGTACATCTACACATATAGACACATGCGTGCAATAGAGACTCCTATATGCATACACACACCCCACCTACGTCTCTTGAAGTTGGACGGAAAATCCCAAGGGCTTCCGTGTGCACAGCAGAACCTGAAGGTGACTCGAGCCTGTGGAACTTTCCGGTACCATCAATGCAAGGGGAGCCAGCCAGCCAGCACCCAGCAAGCCTTACAGAAAACATTACTGCTTTTCAACAACAAGGCCTCCTCCTCTGCCGTGCATATGCAAATCACTCAGGGGACATGAAAAGTTCCAGCAGAATCGTTATTCCCAGCACTACACCAGGCTCCAGCCTCTCAGTTCAACAGTAAGTGGGGAAACGGCTCACCCCCCTGCCCTGCCCAAGTGTCTCTTGCTGGCTTCAGCGCACTCACAGGCCACAGCGACCCATCTCCTCCCAGGAGCAGCACCCAGATGTTGATCCCTCTGTCCTCACAGCACCTCTGCTCCCGCCTGGGGCTGGGAGATGCAGGCTCGGGCAGCCACCCAGGGGCTACCCCTTCCAGCTAAGCCTTTCCAGATTAAAGTCTCTACTCCCGAGAAGCCCAGAGGCAGGGTGGCTTTTTCCTCAGCTGCCCCCCCTCCAACAGAAGAGATGGCAAAAGCAGGCGTCCACAGAAGAGGGTCAGGGAGGCTCAGGTAGGGGTGTCCTCTGCCCCCATCTCTCAAGTGGCTGCTGGAAAATGTGTGTGTGGTGGTGGTGGTGGGGTTCTGGTCTTGTCTGGCTCATGGATTATTCTAAAGCCAGGCAACGACTTGATAACTGTCTGACACTGGTATAAATGGGAAGATAAAAGTGGAGTGGGCTTTGGTTTGGGAAGGGAACGCCGGGATTGTGAGACACCAGAGCTGGGGTTCATGTTGGCACCTGGGGGACGGGAGGATCTTGACAGACGGGCACAGACTACAGAAAGCTCCAGGTGGGGGACAGGTGGGGGTGGGTAAAGAGGGGAGGAGAGGGTGTCAGAGGCACAGAGCGGTTGGGTGGCACCGAAGGCACCCAGGTTGCTGAACGGGGAGACACAGACCTGGCCCTGAGGAAGGTCGGCGAGGGGAGAGGAACTGGCCCAGGTAAGGAAGGTAAGGGAGCCTTGAGAGAGGGGTCACAACCCCGCATGTAGGATGGATCAAGGATCCTGAGGTGGGGTGGGGTCACAGCGCAAGAAGTGGGGTTGTCACGGACAGGGACAGTCTCCAGTGATGGGGGTCCATGACCCAGGTTCAGGTGTGGGTGTCAGATAGCGGGGGAGGGATTAATCCAAGGCGCGTGGGGTGTCAGCGAGGAGGACGATCTCGGGTGCCGGGACAAGGTGTCAGGGTGCCGAGGGAAGCCCCGGGGCTACCACATGTGAGGGTGGGGGTCAGGGACACTTTAACCTCTCTGCCCCCGCCACGCAGCTGTCGCGCCCCTTCTCCCGTGTCCCGGCCCCCGCCCCGGGGCCCGCGACAAGACTTGCGCCACGCCTCGGCTTGGGCTGACAGCGCGGCCCCCGCGCCGCGTCCCTGCGTCCCGCTCACCTGCCGGGACGCGTCGCCGCCGCCTGCTCCAGCCGCCACAGCCCCGCCTCGCGAACGCCCGGCGCGCGCCCTGGGAGGGGTCCAGGCTGCATTCCGATTAGCAGCCCTCTGAACAATCGGCGCAGATGCTGGCAGGAATTGGTGGGTCTGGAGCAGACGGGCAGCTCCTGCAGCCAATCGTCGACGGATGAAGGCGGGGCTCCTGGCAGAGGTTCTGTTTCCCTCAAGTGTTCCCGCAGGGCGCGAGAACCTGGGAGGCAGGGCCTCAAGGAAGGAGAGGATTGGAGTTTAAGCAGAAAACGGGCAGCCCTGTCGACCAATGGCGGGGGGGAAGGGGCGGGACTCCAAGGAAGGTGGTTGGACAGCTGGGGCTGAGTAGGAGGAACGAAGGGAGTAGCCTGGAGGACAACAGTGATTGGCTGCGAATCCAAAGACGGACAGGCCCGTTGGCGAATCGCAGCAGTCGTGGGTGGTGCGCCCCCGGCAGGGCCGAAGCGTGCAAGGGGCATTTGGGCAAGCAGCGCTGCTGCCCGTTTAGCCTGGGACTCTCTGCGCGTCCTCCTGAGACCGCCCTCTGACCATCCAGGCCGACGCGGGCCTCCTGATCTGGCCATGAATTTGGACCATTGCAGCAGGACTCGGCTAGTCCTCCAGCTCCTCTCTCCCTCCCTCCTCATTCTTCCCCTGCAAATGCCACCAGGCCCAGGAGCTCGAGGCGGAGGGCACTCGGCTCCCGTGGCGCGCAGATGTGGGAACAGGAGGTGGGGTCCGACTCGAGCGTGTGTGACTTCGCTGAGCTCACGTCTTGACTCTCACGCAACCCAGGGACATCCCTGCTAGAGCCTTTGGTGAAGTCACTGAATCTTCCCCACCATCCTGAGGTCAGGGTGACCACTCACACCCTTTACAGGAACCAGAACAGAGGCCGAGCCCCTTGCGCACGCTCACACAGCACCCTGGTTGCCCAACCTGGGAATAACTGAAACAGGGTCATAGACGACAGACAGCTCCTGGCTGGGGGCCAAGAGACCTGGGTTAGAATCTTCCTCCAGTCAGTCACCTGTCCGCTGGACAATCTTGGGCGAAGCGCTTGTGAGCCTCGGCTTCCTCGCTTGGGAAAGAGGGCAATGGGTTGGGGTATAGCCCTGCGTGCTCTCTGACTCAGCCAGGGCTCTCCCTCCATCTGCAGGCCCAGGGCTCCTCATTTCCTCCAGGTGCGGCCTGGCACTGGAGGTCAAGTTCAGAACCAGAGGATCTTGGGAGGAAGCCGCTGAGCTTAATCTGGTCTCACATTTCAGGGCTAAATGTGTGATCCACACTTCAAATTGGGAGGGCTTGACCGCAGCTCATGCTGTGGGTGTCACTAGCCCATAGGCCACCATGGAGTCCTGATGGTCCTCCGGGGTGGCTGGGGCTGCTGCTCAGGTCCCGGCTGAACCACACCCTCTCTGCCAGGTGGAGGTGGCTGTGCCCACTTCGCAGATGAGAAAACCAAGCCTGTGGGGCGAGTGTCATTTGATGGTAGGGCCCCAAGGCTGTCTGGTCAATGCCCTCTTCCCGCCTCCCCATGGTGCTGGAGGTGAAACCCAGGGTTTCATGCATTCTCAGCCCTTTTTTAAAATTGTATTTTCAGACAGGATCTCACTAAGTTGCTTGGGCTGCCCTTGAACTTACAGTCCTCCTGCATCAGCCACCTGAATAGCTAGGATTATAAGCAGGCACGGCCACACTTGCCTCCTTGCTCTTGTTTACTTGCTGGCCACAGGACCTTTAGGACCTGACTCCAGCTCCCTGCCTCAGTTTTCCAGTATCACCCAGGAGAGCATTAATGGAATGGAAGTGAAGGTTTACACAGGTTCGCTCCACAGTAAGCATCCGTGAACACTAGCGAGGGTCCTTTGTCTTCTTGAGCCTGCAACCCCCTGTCCACAGTGCTTCGGGGACACAGGCCAGCTGTGGGGGAGGTCGCTGACCCAAGAGGAAGATGTCTGTGTCCCAGAGGCCCCAGCCCCCAACCCTTACCTGCCAGGCCTTGGGAGGACAGTGACAAAGGTCCTGGAAGGACCCATGGTGCCCCTGGGGACAGTGCCAAGTAAGGCAAGTGTCAGGCAGAGCTCCAGTACCAGCTGCCTCTGCCAATGGTACCAGAGGCACTGGGCTCCGGCTTCTGTCCACTTGTCAGCTGGCCGGTGACAGCCAACCTCGCTGCTGCCTTCCAACAATGGCAGGCAGTGGATGCCCGGGATCCCAGTGCCCCTGCCAGCCAAGCCTGGGCAAGACACAGCCCCTGTGCCTCCCGGTTTCCTCTGCCACTCGGGGATCCCAGGGACCATCTGACATCACAGCTGTGGCCCAGGCACTGGCCCAAGGTCAAGGCATTGAGGCTGGCAGGGGTGTGGAGGCCAAGTTGGGGTTCGGTCCCGGGAGGCCTGGGTTCAGATGAAGAGCCAGGGTCAGAGGGGAGGTGGCCAGCATGGGGTGGCCAGGGGCATGGGAACCAAGGCCTGCTGAGCCCAGCAGCCCCGCCCAGGCTCCGTGGGGCACCCACAAGGGACACCTGTTCTCTCTGCCAAGGTAGGGAGGCCTGAGAAGGCGGAGCCACCGTCCAGAAGTGCTGGCGCAGGGCAGGGGAGGATGCGGGAATGTGGGTGAGGCCTCCGCCAGGTGTTGGTCAACAACACAGATGGGAAGCCAGGTGGTGGGGGACGGGCTGCCCACAGTGAGCTCACAGATGACAGGGACAGCACAAACAGGAGGGCTCACAGAACAGGTGACCTCCCAGAGGTCCAAGATTAGAGACTGGGCACCTGGGGTGATGTGGTGGGGGGTGCCTCTGAAGGAAGGGGGCTCTAGGCAGAGGGTCCAGCCTGTGCAAAGGTCCTGGGGTAGGAGATCAATGTGGTCGGGATAGGGAATAAGGATCTAGGGAAAGATGGGGACAGAGCCCAGCCCATGTACGGCCTGCAGACACAAAATACTGTTTGGTTTTATGTGTAAGGCAATGGGAAGCCATGGACAGGTTGGACGCTACACTCAGGCAGGGATTCTGTAGACCCACCCCATGGGACAGAGGACCAAGAGCCTAAGGACCCTCAAGTCACACTTGTGGTGGAGTCAGAAGTCAGGAAGCCCAATGAGTCCCCTGTGAGATGAAGGGTGGAGAACTCAGATGAGGCTCCTGTCTGCCCTCTGACTGGCAGGGCCCCCACCTTGGGCTCAGTGTGGCGTGGCAGGGGGATGGGCAGGGTGGTTTCCATGGAAACCAAGAGCCTGGGGAAGGGCCTGTTCTGAGGACCGAGCAGAAGAGCTCAGGCCAGGAGGAGCCTCCAGGGTGGGAAGGGGACCCCAGAACACCTGGGATATGGGGTGGCCTTGGGTCACGGGTAGTAATGTCTGTTCTACAATGGGGAAACTGAGGCCCAGGTGGAAGTGGGCTGCTGAAGCCGCTCATGAGTGGAGGGACAGACAGGGCAGTGAGGGGCCAAGTCCTGCCCAGTGCTCTCGAAGGGGCTGCCATCTCCTCCCTGAGCACCTGGACTGGGGCTGAGGTCCAGAGAGGTCCCGTCCCCTGCTCCAGGCCACTGGGCCCTGCTGGGGGCGGGATGCTGAGGTCCCCCGCCAGCCCTGGCCCCCAACGTGATCCTGGCCACGGGCTCCAACTGTCTCACGGGGACTGCGGATCGCACACCCCAGACTGCTCCCCAGCAACCCCCCGGGCTCAACGGAGCACGGAGACCTCTCCAACATCCACCAATGACCTTTATTACTGGATACCACGCTGCCGCACACAGCTGGACACCTGAGACCCATTTACAGGGAGAAACCCTGGAGCAGGGTCACAGGGCCCGTAGGAGCGGAACCAGGAGCCGAGCCAGCAGCAGGCACTCGCCGGGAGTCAGGTGGGAAGACGTGCCCTTTGCCCCAAGAAATGCACAGACAGGCTCTGTGACAGAGGGGGTGCCACACGGGTGGGGCAGGGGCCGTGGGGGCGGAGCTGGGCCTCCCCGAGTCCTGTGAATCACCCAAGGTCACAGCCCACACTGGCAGGGTCACGGTGCCAGATCCCCCTTCTGCCCCGTCCACAGCTCCCGGAGCTCCACGCGACAGCCCAGGTCCCGCAGGGCGGCCTTGGCTGCGTCCTCGCAGTCCTGGTGGGCTGCCCGCGCCTGCGTGATGAGCGCCTCGGCCCCCAGGTCCAAGATGGGCTTGGAGAAGGCCTGGCTGCGGGACACCAGGTTGCGGATGAGCATGCAGGCCTGTTTCTGCGGAAGAAAGGGGGAGTGAGCCGACGGCAGGCAGGCAGGCAGGCGTCTTGGGAAGGGGTCCCTTCTGCCCTCGGGGTCCCCGCCAATGGCTGTGGCCCATGAGGCTGGGGTGCAGTTCCTGGCAGAGCACTTGCCTAGCAGCATGGAACCCTGGGTTCCAGCCCCAGCCCCAGCCCCAAGAAAAAAAAGAAAGGAGCAAAAGAGATGATTAAACACAAAGCACAGGGCCAGGAAAGGGCACGTATCCAGAGACAGGCAGGCAGGAGGGCTGTGGGCCGGCCACAGTGGGGGTCGGGGGACAGGGACTGGGAGAGCCTTCTCAGCGGGCTCCTGGACCAGCGCAACGCCCACCTGCACACTGGCCTCCCGCGGGTGCGCCTTCATGGCCTGCAAGGCCGCCAGGGCACCGCCGCCCTCCACGATGACCCGGCTGTTCTCTGGCTTGCGCAGCGCCAGGACGCACAGGGCCGCGCAGCTCTGCTCACACACCTGTGGCCGCATGGACAGCCTGGGGCGCAGCACACGGCTGAGCCCCTTCGAGGGCTCTGCGACCCCCACCGTGAGCCGTCGGCTGGTACGCGACAGCGGGGCGACAGCAGGGCTCTCGGTGACAAGGGCACTGCCCAGCGGGAACCTCCCAGGGGACCCAGGCCAGCACCTGAGCCCGGCCGCCTCACCCTGCCCCGCCTGGGAAGTGACCAAGGGCCTCCCTCAGTGGTGACCCCGGGCCGGGAGCCCCCCATCGCCCACCCCGCATGTCCGCACTGGGTACCTGGGGGCTGGCCAGGTGCTGGGTCATGGCAGCCACGATGGCCTCTGTCCCGCCAGCGCGCACGATGCTGTCCTTCACGTCATCGTTGCCTGCGATGGCTCGCAGGGCGCTCAGCACCTGCTTCACGAGGTCCTGCACGGGCCCAGGCCCGGTCACCAGGCACCCACCCTGCCCTGCACCATGCCAGCCCAGCCTGGGGCAACGACGGGGAAGGGTCTGAGAAGGGCTGGGCCTCGGCCTAGACATCAGGGGTGTGGGCAGCAGGGCCCTTCCCACCAGCCTCGCCTGGCAGCCACACGGGCCCGGCCAGTGAGGGCTTCGATGGAGGACTGATGGGGGGACACTGAGGCAGGGAGGCGGGCCTCAGCCGAGCCTCACGTGCTGGGGTTGGGGCCCTGGCTGGGCCAACATCTTCCCCTCGGTCCCCATGCCTGTAGAAAACGGGCAGAGGACAGCGAGGGGCTGCTGTGTTTGGCTCCAGGGGTGGTGATGGGTTGGCTGGTGGCACCCAGAGGGACAGGAGCCTTCCTGGTGTCAGGAGGATGGAAACCCAGCTCCGGGTTTGGCCCAGCTCAGGCGCCCCACCTGGTGGTTGTTGCAGCTGGCCAGCAGGGTCACCAGGACATCGAGGCCCCCGAGATCCACCACCTCCTGGCAGAACTCATTGCGCACGGCCAGGCAGGCCAGGGTGCTGCAGAGCTCACCCAGGACGCCAGGGTTGCCGCGGAAGGCTGCAGGAGACAGCACAGTCAGCGTGGCCGGGGACCAGGGGCACCGGGCCGGCCCGCAGCGCCCTCTGCTGGCTGCTACAAGACCGCGCCCTCCTGGCCTCCTGCTGGGCTCCAAGTAAATTCCGGACCACTTATGGAGAAGAAAACTAGAATAGCGCCACAGTGTACCATGGTCTGAGATTACTTTCGGAGTCCTGTGGTGGCAACGACTTTTCCAGGTGCAACCAGCAGCCCCGGAGGGGCACATGGGACACCGGCTGTGACACAGCTCAGGGCCCGCAGGAGCCAACAGGTGGACGCATGTGACTTGTCACCAGGCTGCAGCCCTCCCGGGCCTCTCTGGATGTGCCTCGGTGTATTCTGTGGACGGAGTCACCAGCCATAACTGGCTGCCTTTTGGGGGGAGCGTGTTGATTGCTGGGAACAGAACCCCGGGCCTGGCACATGCTAGAAAGCACCTACCACAGAGCACACCCCAGCCCTTTAAAAAACTTTTATTTTGGCCCAGGGATTTAGCTCAGTGGTTCCATCGCCTGCCTTGCAAGCTCAAGGTGCCGAGTTCGATCCCCGGTACCAAAAAAAAAAATTTTTATTCTGAGACAGGGTTTCACACCTCTAACTTGTCCTCAGCCTCCTGAGTGGCTGGAATTAGAGGGCTGCGTCACTGTGAATCGACCACTTCCTTAAGAAGGAAATGAATGCACGACTGCTTCTACACAGTGATGTCAACCAGGTGCACAGCTGTTCAGGAGGCTGAGGCAGGAGGGTCACAAGTTGTAGGCCTGGCTGGGGAACTTAGTGAGAACCTGTCTCAAAATTAAAAATGAGCCAGGTACACTGGTGCATGCCTATAATCTCAGCTACTTAGGAGGCTGAGGCAGGAGGATGGCAAATTCGAGGTCAATCCAGGCAACCTAGCAAGACCGTGTCTCAAAATAAGGAACTAAAAGAGGGCTAGGGGTGTAGCTCAGTGGTAGAGTGCTTGCCCAGTGTGTGTGAGAACCTAGGTTCCTTCCCCAGCACTGCCAGAAAAAAAACAAGACTTCATATAAATACGCACAGATAGTCTGTCTCTCTATTAGAAGCCTAATTCAAGCTGCTATAAATAAACAGGAAGGATGCAAACGACTTCTCAGAAAAGCAGCCAGGACTTGTTTTGATTCTCTCCAGAGGCGTGGAGGGGAAACCAAGGCAGGCCCACCTCCCCAGCAGACAGGGAGGGAAGCCCGCAGAGGCCCAGCCTGGTACAGGTTCTCCCAGGACCGCCTGGGACCGAGGCTCTGTTGGGCGCTCTGGGGGCAGGGGCGGGAGGGAGGCAGCTCACTGTGACCTTCCCAGAGCTGGCCACACAGACAGGCGTGAGGGTTTATGGCCAGGTACAAACAAGAGTACATGTTCTGGAGGGGTGTGTGTGTGTGTGCGTGTGTGTGCGCGCGTGTGCATGCACAATATTGAGAACTGAACCCAGGGCCTTCACACTGAGCTATGTTCCCATTTATTTGGGGACAGGGTTTCCATAAGTTGCCCAGGCTGGTCTGAACTGGGGATCCTCCTGCCTCAGCCTCCCAGAGTCCTGGGATGACAGGCGTCTGCCACCATCCCTGGCTTGTTTCGGTTTCTCTGTGGGGCTAGGGATGGATCCCAGGGCCTCGTGCATGCTAGGCCAGCATTCTGTCCCTGAGCTCCATTCGTACGCCATCAACAAGTGTAGCCTCCACCTGGGGCCACTGAGGAAGCTACCACCAGACCCCTTCCTCTTGTTTCCCTTTGGGAAGCTCCCTCTTCCGCCCTGGCCCCTCCCCAGTCAGCTCCTACGCAGCTCCTGGCCAATGAGTCCTGGCCTGGAAGTCCCCTAGAGCCACTGGGGCACATGAGGATGCCTCCTGGCCTGCCACACGGACAGGACTGTCCTGGCAGGTGGTGCCTGGAGCAAGCCATACCTGAAGCTGTTCTAAGCCCTGCCTCTTAGTCTTTTTGTGTGTGTGTGGTGTAGGGAGGGAAGCCAGGCCTTGTTCATGCTAAGCGTGTGCTCCCTGCTGAGTTGTAACCCTGTACTCTCACCTTGGCCACAGCTTGCCCACTGCCCCCATTTCACTGCCTCACGTGGCTGCTTCTCCTACCTTTGGCGGCTTCGATGAGGACCTTCAAGCCTTTGTTTTCCTGCACGATCATCTTGGCGTGGTCATGGGCGTGGCCGAAGGGCACACGGATGTCGTCATCGAAGGTCATGACACGCAGGGCCCCGCAGGCCTCCCTGACCACGTCGGCGTGGTGGCTGTGCCGGGCGATGGCGCCGGTCAGCAGGGGCAGCGCACCTGCCTTCACCAGGGCCTGCCGGTTCTGCTCGTGCTTCAGGCAGGCGTGGCGCACGCAGCGGAGCCCAGAGCAGGTCACGTCGGCCACATCGGTGTTCTGGGCCAGGGTGGTCAGCAGCAGCCGCAGGCCGTCGGCATCCAGGAGGTCAGGCTGGCCATCGGTGAGCGCCGCCAGGGCACTGAGGGCCGGGAGCAGGAGGCCCTGGTCGCCCGGGGCTGCCAGCTTGCAGGCGGCCAGGATGGCGGGGTAGGCCCCCTTCTGGGCTGCCAGGAAGCGGCAGGCCCTGTGCTCACGGCACTGGTCGCAGAAGCGCGCCAGGTGGGCCACTGCCTCCTGGGGGTGCGAGCCAGCCACGGCCTCCAGCAGGTCATCGAGGGTCTGGGGAGGGGAAAGAGCCTTGTGCTGAGCTGCAGCCCCAGCCATTTCTTATTTTTCACTTCGAGAGAGGGCCTCACTAGGTTGCCAAGTTGCCCACACTGGGCTCAAACTTGCGATCCTCCTGCCTCAGCCTCCGGAGTGGCTGGGATGACAGGTGTGCATCTCCATGCCCGCCTGTTTGACCAGGTGATGGTGAGCTTCAGGTGGCTTTTCTCCTGTTGTTTTGGCCTCAGTTTGCCCAGCGCCAACCTCGCGGGGGATTTTAAACAGGAGGGAGGCAGTCGCCTGCTGCCACCAAGTGCTGCTGCACTGTCTGCCTGTGATCCCTTCCCTCTCCCTGCAGTTCTGTCCCTGTCAATATGGGGGACCGGGACCATGCACACGGCGCGAGGGTGCTGGGCCCCCTCACCAGGGACAGCCAGGAGCATGGATGCCCAGTCTCAGAGTGCCAGCTTCGCTGGCTTCGGATACGGCGGCAGCAGCCAACGTCCAGCTGGCCGTGCATGCTGGGAGAGCAGGGACCTCCGGACCAGGTGACCAGGCCCCAACCTGGGCTGCCCATCCCTACCTGGCACACAGCATGCGTGGGCTCCAGGGCTCCCTGGGCAGAGGCCTTCGGCACAGCCTTCACAATGGTGCTCAGATCAACGCCTACAGGGAGACGCAGACTCAAAGACAACGCTGCCCAGCCTGCCGCCGAGTCCACCCCAGTTCCTTCTGCTGGGCTTTCCTCGCTCTGGGGCCCCAGGGTCTGGCCAGCTCTGGACCCTGCAGCCCTTCTGCCCAGTCTGGCCAACAGGGCACAGCGGCAGGAGCTGGGCAGTGAGGCGGCACCCACGGCCTTCCTGGAGCTCCCTGCTCCGGTCCCACAGGACCTGGGCACCCCATCTGTGTGCAGGACCAACCTCTGATCTCGGAGGCTGCACCCAACTCCCTCCTGGCCGAGCAACTGGACAGGAGGAGGGAGGGAGTGCGGCGTCTCCAAAGCTCCACCAGAGACTGCCAACAGCCCTCCTCAAGGTGCCCCCATGTGGACCATGCCCTTTGTCACTCTGGGCCCAAGATGGGGTGCGGGGGGACAGAGAGGCAGGGCCCCGCAGGCACCGGCATCCATGCCAGGTGTGACGGGTGATGGGAGCCCAAGAGAGAGCAACCTGCAAATGGCTCTGTGTCTCCGCGCCTGGAGCAGTGCCTGACCTTGCGACTCAAACTGCTCCACAGCCTCCTGCACGGCTTCCTCCGGCCCCATTTCAAACTCCTCCATGTTCTCCTGCACGGCCGCATCAAAGGTGTTCTGGGTGATGTGCCGGGAGGCCATCTGTGCCTACAGCTGAGAAGCGACAGGCTTGTCAGCAGGGGACATGGCACTCAGGACCCCTACCACCTTGGAAACTTAGCACCTAGATCCGAGGAGAGGGGACAGCCCCTGTTCTTGGGGCTTCAAGTGCCAAGACGGCATGTGGAGAACCAGGAACCCAGAGCCTCAGACATGCCAGGTAAGCGCTCACTACTGAGTGACACCCCTGGCCGGTTCACTGTTTTACTCAAGAAAGTCCGATTGATAATATACTGCTATGTCCTTGTAATTAAAAAAAAAAATCAGTGGTAGGGCCAGGGATTTAGCTCAGTGGTTTCACCGCCTGCTGTGCAAGTGCAAGGACCCGAGTTCGATCCCTGGTACCAAAAAAAAAAAAAATCAGTGGTCCACTTTGGTAGGCTGAGGCAGGAGAATTGCAAGTTGGAGCCCAGGCTGGACAACTTAGTGACTTAATGAATCCCTGTCTTAAAATAAAAAATGTAAAAAGGCAGCATGAAGTGCCTGGGCTCAATCTCTAGTGCTGCAAAACTGATGTGAGCAGGACAGAAGCCACCTTTCCCTCTGGCTGGCCACTCTCTTCCTGAGTCTAAACCAGCTGTGCTAACCACGCAACCAGCGTGCCCGTGCGATGACTGGAGGGTAAGCACGCAGTGTGGGGACCATACGGTACGGTATGGTACACGGCCTGCGCGCCAAGCTTATCTCGTGAGCCCTTTCAAGACACCTACAAAAGTGTTTTCTAAAACATTTACTTTTACTCCCATAGGATTAGCACGTTATCTGTTACACCACCAAGAGATCAGCACAACACGCTGTTTGTACCAAACTCCCATGGCATAAAAGAGGAAGGCCCGGCCGCGCATGAACTCCGGCTTGGCCTTCCAGCTCCAGGCTGTGGGCTCTGCCCTGGGTGCCGCTCCAGCCCTGCGACTGTCTGACAGCGTCACTCTGACGCCTAGAACACCTCGCCTGGCTCCTCGGCCGTGTCGGTCTCCAGATTGCTGTGAGCTCCAGTGTTGCCCATTGGGACCCCCATGTCCTCCCCGTGTTGGCCGGGGTGGAAGAAAGATCCTGCACTGGCGGGGGCGCCACCTCCAGCTTCCAGCTCATGCTGTGGTGAGCCCCTCTGTCTTGCTGTGAACATGATAAACGCTCAATAAAGCACTGCATTGGGGAGACTGCTCACTCCCTTTGACTCCCTGGAGCCCCAAAAGTGGCCTGAACTCAGAGGGCCTTTTGGCCTCAAGAGTAGCCTCCATGTCTGCTTGAGACAAAAACACTATTTGTTTTGTTTTGGCTTTTGGTACTGGAAATCGAACTCGGGGCCTTGTGCTTGCCAGGTAGGTGCTGCCAAGCAGGTGCTGTACCTACCACTGAGCTACATCCCCAGCCCTGTTTTGTGTTTTGAGACAGGGTCTCACTATACAGTTCAGGAGACTGGCCTTGAACTCATTATGTAGCCCAGGCTGGCCTCAAACTCGTGGAGATCCTCCTGCCTCAGCCTCCCAAGTGCTGGGATTACAGGTGTGCACAGCCATACCTGGCTGCAAAACACTGTTACGTTAGAAAGTTGTTCAGTCAAACCATCCTCAGTGGATTATCTCCTGATTGAGATGTACCCTGATGGGAGTATAACCTATAAAAGAAAAGCTTCCTGGCATTCAGGAGGGAAACAGTAATCATTTTACTCTGGAACTGTAGGTGCCCCAAAGCCTGCTGTATTCACAGGTGGAGCTTCTGGGAGGTGACTGGATAACAGACCGCTGTTTTCATCAATCCCCACCAATCCCCAGCTGGGTGTGTGGTCAGAAGGCGGGGCCTAGTCAGGAGAGGGGGATGGGGCATGGCCTCAGGAGTGCATCTCCCTCTCTGCCCCTCCCTTCTCTCCCTGACTCCTTTCTGGGCCACCATGGTGGGAGGCACTTTCCTCCACCAGGCCCTAGTGCCCACCAACCCAGGACTGAAACCTTGAGCCCAAATTAACCTCTCCTGTAAGCTGAGGGTGTCGGGTATTTTGTCCCAGTGACAAAAATGTGATTTAAGACATATGCATAGAACAAAACATACAGGGCTGGGGATTTAGGTGAGTGGTTCCAGCACCCGCCTTCTTGCAGACGCATGGTCCTGAGTTCGAGTCCCAGTACCAAAAAAAGGTAAAAAAAAAAAAAAAAAAAAAGAACAAAACATACATATATGTTAACTATAAAGTAAACCTCAGGTTGGAGCGTAAACCTCGGAACTCCTACATCTTAACTGGAAACATAAACATGAACTCATGATGGTTTTTTTTGGTACCAGGGATCGAACTTGGGTCCTTGCGCTTGCGAGGCAGGCAACGGAACCACTGAGCTAAATCCCTGGCCCATGATGTATTTTTTGTAAGCATACACAAACCCAATATTCTAGTAATCAAACGGAAATGCCAGAGGACATGATGTCACAGTAGGGGCAAGCATCCTAAAAGCAGCTCTGGTCCCTAAACATCATTTCCTACACAGAGGACCCAGGTCTCCTAGGAGAAAGGCCCATTCTGGGTCTAACCCTAACCCTAATGCTAACCCTAAACAAATGTGTGTTTTGGCCAGGCAAGGTAGCACACACTTGTCATCCCAGCACACAGAAGCCTGAGGCAGGAGGATCCCTGAGAGTTCTAGGCCAGCCTAGGGTACATAGTGAATTCAGAAAAACCCTGTTTCAAACCAAAACAAACAGAAAGATGAAAGCTGGGACAAGTAAGCATTTAAAAAGAAATTCAGCTGAGGGCCAGGGATTTAGCTCAGTGGTTCTACTACCTGCCTTGAAGGCCCAAAGGTTCTGAGTTTGATCCCGGTACCAAGAAAACAAAACAAACAAAAAAAAATTCAGCTGGGCTGGGGATTTAGCTCAGTGGTTCTACCACCTGCCTCGCAAGCACAAGGTGCAGAGTTTGATCCCCAGTACCAAAAAGAAAAAAGCTGGGGGATTTAGCTCAATGGTGCTGCCCCGTCTCACAAGCTCAAAGTCCTGAGTTCGATCCCCAGTACTGTCGGGAGCAATGCTACATAATTTTAGGGAAAAATCATTTGGTTAGCTTAGTTTTGCCTACAGCTCAGCTATGGAATTCGGAGACATAATTCCATTTTGGCCTCCAGTCAAAACTGAGACCTCAAGGATCCAGTGATGCTGTGATTCTCCAGGACAAGAAACATCCTGGGAGGAACAAACATCTACTCAGTTCCTCATTGTTCTTGGACTGTTACATCTTGTTTACCTGGATGTACTGAACTCTGCAAGTCATCTGTTACATGTTTCTCCCAATGTACTGAATAAAAGGTGCAGTAAGCTGCAGGCTTTAGTCTCCGCAGCCCAGAGCAGCACTGATCAGGCCCAAAGCTTAGCTTCTTCTGTCTCATTTTTCTACTTGTAATTCGCCCTGTGCTGCCGTGGCTCGCAGGAGACTAGGACTTACTGCAGAAGTTCTAGTAATGTCCCCTTTCCCTGTTCCCTACATTTGGCGCCCAACTTGGATGTGAACTGGATCCACGAGTGAACTCGCCTGTGAGACAAACTCGGAGTAAAATAGACAGCACACGGCTCTCCCAGGACGATTTCCAGACTCAGACGAGGGACACTGGTGTGTCCAGCTGGGGGTAATTTTCTACCTTCGCTGAGTTAGAACTATGGGTCAGTCTCTGTCATCAGAGCAGCGTAACTTTGCCAAATTACTTAAGTTGCTGTTAAAGCAAGCTATGTACCCAGTACCTAAGGATGCTGTGATAGATTTGTTAAAAGACATACAAATGTACGTCCCATCTTTTCCCCTGGAAGGGACAACTAACTTAATAGCATGGGAACGTGTAGGTACCGCTCTCTGTGAGGCCCGGTGAAGGGGTGATCCTCTCTCCCCCCGAACGCTCCCCACTTGGGCCTAAGTCCACTCTGCTCAGAGGTCAGAGTTGCTAGCCATTTTAATTTGTGATTGAAAACTTCCCTCCCCAACCTCTTAATACTTTAAGTGATTTCTCTTATGCAGTTTGGTTAACTCAAAGATTGGAAGGAGCTATGGTCTGCTCTACCTTAGAGCCTAAATTATTAAACTTGTTTTTAAGATTACAAAAGGCCTGCGCAAGTGCAAGGACCCGAGTTCAATCCCCGGTACCAAAAAAAAAAGATTACAAAAGGCCGTATGTCAAACAATTGCTCCTGCCTTAATAACCTGGGGGAGAGGTTTTGCCTGTGTCCTGACAGATAAGGATGAAACCTTGTGGCCGCCCTCCCGGAATGTGCGACCCTGGGTCTCACTGGTGGAACCACCAACATCTTGGAGAATGGGTGATAGCACCCTGGCTGAGAGTCATGAGCCAGCTGCACCTGAGGGACTCACCTCAACAGCAACGACCAACAAATCCACAGCGGGGTCCAGGGTTGAGATGATGTCCCCAGAGGAAGAATAAATACAGATTAAAGGGGGGGGGCACAACTTGAAAATGTTCTTTTTACATTTACAGGTATAAAAGCGCTTGCATTCCTTCTGATTCTAATCTCAAGAGATCTGTTAGTTGACTACAAAAGTTTTTGACCAGTCTCATGTACAATTAGAAACCTAAAAATCACAAAAGGGATATTATAATTCAATTTGGCCAAATATATTTGAGTGCACTCTAGTTTTGTAAGTTATCTTATATGTTTGTCTGTTTTCTGTTTGTCCATTTGCACAGTTGAGCTCAAATTTTTTTTCCCCCTCTTTTCCTTTTGACCTTTTGAAAAAAAATTTTGGGGGCCGGGGATTTAGCTCAGTGGTTTTGCCGCCTGCTGCGCAAGCGCAAGGACCAGAGTTTGATCCCCAGTACCAAAAAAAAAAAAAAAAAATTTTTTTCCTTAAAAAATATTCACCTATGATTGCATTGCCTTACAGATAAATGTTATTAAATTAAAGGCATGCCTTTCTTCCCCCAGGTTGCTAACTGATCAAAGTGCCATCGAGATTTATTTGTCAAAATACATAGAGACCGTGGGTACTCCCTTTGGTGAAT